TTTATCTTATGTTTTTTGTTTTGTTTTCATATGCAATTTTAACCAGGATATCCATCTCTTTACAAATGAACAAAACACCCATCAATTTTAACAAATGTCAAAAGCATCCTTCTTGACGGCTAATGACTATTTTACCCCCATTTGGGCGGGCTTTCTTTAGCATTCCTAATTTCAAATTTATTTCCGGCCTCGACTTCGGCGTCCTGAAGGAGAAACTTATTATTATCTTGTATCCTTGGCAGTGAATCCGCCATCATTATGATCATCCACGTGTTATAAGCATTTATGAATTTCTAAAATTATCGTTACTTGCCACTTCTGCCTCTCTGGCCTCTCATGTCGAGCACATGTTGACACACAACGCTAACCACTATAAACAGGCTGGGTAATATGTAGAGATCGCCCTTTCATGGCAAAGATGCCAAATTGGGATGTTTTGGTAATTTCCCTTAAAATAAGCATGATGTTACTTACACAAGTGTTGAGATTTGGGTTCTTTTTTGCCCTTTTTTCCAGATTCCTCCACATAAGCCATGCATTTGCATCCACTGTACAGCACACATAGTGGCCTAAAGAAACACAACTAGCACACAGAGAAACAAGTTTTTGGTTATTTCTTTGAAAGAAATATTGACACGAGTGAGTGTTTAAATTCTTAAAAATTTACAAAAATACACTTAATTTATTGACTAATTAACAATTTGCTTGTCCTCTATTCTAACTCTTAATCATGTGTATTTTGATAGGAATTTTGAAATTAAATTAAGACAATAAGTAAATTATACATTATAGTAAATTTCTCCTAAAATTCAAAGCCTTTTGCTATTTATCTCATAGAAAGATATTCACTTTAGCCCATGCATTATGCCCCGAAGTTTAAGAGAGCATCATTTTCCCCTTGTAAACGAATGAATAAGAAAGTATAAATGCGATAACATAATATACATGAGGAGATGCAGGGTATTATTTGATTTGAAAGGGTCAGGATAGCCTTGGGCCTAAACAAAAGAGGGCGTGGATCCTCTGACGTGGTGCTGCTTGGGAACAGTGAAAGTGCGGGTAGGGGCAAAACCGTCAATAAAAGAGATACTGGTTGGGTAATTGGGTTGGCGGTGAAAAGAGGTAAAAAGATATGGGGTCATTAGAGAGAGAGAGAGAGAAGAGAGAGAAAGGGGACAGAAAAGAGAGAAATAAAGAAGAGGAGGGGAGGAGAGAGAAAGAGAGGAACAGTATTTTCTTTAAATAGTTGCTTCTGTGGGCAGGTCGCAGTGATAAAGCTTTGTTCCCGTAGCCCGTACTGTGCCTAGGCAACACTGTTTCCTTTGTCGCACTGCCTTTGGCAGTGCAATGTAGAAAAAAAGCCCCCTTCTAAGAATTAGAGAGAGAAAGTCATAAATGAGAGAGAGAGAGAGAGGTGTCATGGAGATTTTAGGGGAGCGAGAAAGTTACCATTTGTAGCTCTTTTAGAGAGAGACCGTATTTTACAGAGATTAGTGGATGAGAGATGTGGAATATAACTTGGGAAGGGTCTTCTAGAGAGAGAATAAGAGAAAAATAGTTCAATTTAAACAACTGTTTTGAGAACCATAGGACAATTACAAATGAACCTACTGGATATTTGGAAACTGAAGAGAGGGAATCAAGAGAAGAAAAAAAAATAGATTGATAGACATTCAGCCCTAAGCCCTATAAAAATAAATAAAGCATCACCTTGCAACTCATCGAACATTGTAATTCAGGCATTGAAAAACCTTTACATTGATCATAGCGGCTTAAACATGATGGTTGTGAAAAAAAAAAAGATTTTGAGCTTTATAAATAGCGTGTATTGTAACAAATTATGTAAACCATCTATTTTGCCCTAAAAATGATCTACAGGATTTTTATCATTTTTTAAATTTTAAATTTAATTTTCAGATGTTAAAAATCCTAGAGATTTTTAGTGTCTTCGTAACAAATATTATTTTGTTTTCACAAAGTCTGGGCCTTACGAAACATAGAGAGAGAATTAAAAGAGAGAAAGGATGTTTAGAAATAGGGTGCGAGTGTTTAGATGAGAGGGACAGCTGCAGTGGCATTGAGCAATTGCTTTTCACTTTTTCAAAACTTTGCCGGCTAAAGAAGGGGAACGTAACCGAAGAGAGAGAAAGTAGGCTAGAGAGAGAACGGTACAAGGGACAATACATTATGAGGGATAGAGAGAGAAAGTAAAGGACTTTATAATGGGAAACATGTTTGAAAATGGAGAGGCTGATTTTTTAGAAACAGGGGTTTGGAGGATATACTTTAACAGGATATGTTATTTACTGAATTATTACTAACTTTATTATATTTTTTAAAGAAAAAGCTTGTATTAGGATACAACATTAAAATGTAGAACTATGAAAAGGTAGTTTTAATGTTGAAAAACCTTTTGATTGATCATCCCGAGATGTATGATCATGAAAAATAAAAATATTTTAAATCTCATAAATAGTATATTTTACAACATATTATCTACACCGTCCATTTTTAAGATTTTCATATGTTAATAGTTCGACTTGATTTTAATTATTTTTTAAATTTAAAATTTTATAATTAGATATAAAAATAGATTTTTAGATAATCCTAAGAACATTTCACATCAAAGAACATTTCACATCAAAATTATATACCATGATAAAATTTGAAGGCACACCTTATCTCTATAGCTACAGATGCATCCGTATGCCAACTGCACCCAATTTTTTAACCTGAATTGCATTGCATGTTACATTTTATATTTCATGTGCCTTTCACTAAAATATTTTTGAAACTTGGTTTTTTCAAGGTGTAAAAAATGACAATTCGGATTGAAATCGATCGATCCTGTTAGAGAATTTAAAGGGCCAACCTAGTTCCTTAAAATTATCGGGAACTAGTTGGCTCTTTTTGTGCACCAGTGGGTCAATTCTGTTAGAAAACTTTACAAAGTGAGTTTTTTAAATTTATACTCTCATAAAGCTCTTCCTCTTTAATTATTAATCTTGACCTCTTGATTCGTGGATAGGCTGCAGTCTTAGGAATACCTAAAACTGCAGTCCTAACAAATTTCATCTGGAACCTCATTGTTAACTCCTATCTTCTTTCCTCCACTTCTTTCTCCTCTATTATTACTTCTCTCACAAAATCTTCACTTCTTTCTCCTATATTATTACTTCTCTCACAAAATCTTGCATTGCTCTGATTCACACTCTCTGTATTTAAAAATATTCATCCAACTGGAAATCATTCAAGAGGATTAGGACCTATTTGTCAAAGCATAGCTCAATATGACACCAAAAAACTAAATCTCAAACCCTGATCTCGAAAATCATCTAAGTCCAATAGGGGAAACTTAAAAGAAGCCCATGTTTGGTTTTTGAAACACTTAATCTTGTCCTCTAATTTATAGAAAAATTGCAATATCAAGGGACATCAATATTTTCCATACAAAATTAATGAAAAAGTTTATATAAGGTGTCAACCTCACAATGTAGAAGTAAGGCGTGCCTCAACATTCTATCAAAAAATGCTGTTTTGATTTTGGAAAACCCTCTCATGATGTATGGAAGGTTTTCAAATATTAAAAATAATACATTCTATGGATAGTTCATTTATAACATTTTCAAAGATTTACATCGCTTTTTAAGTTGTAAATTTCATAATTAAAGACGAAAATAATATTTAAAGTTATCTTAGACTTTCCAAAACCAAACTACATTTTATGATTAAGTTTGGAGGTGTGGCTTAATTTAATTGTTTACGGTTTGCACCTTGTACAAACTACACCTAAAAAAGAAGAAAAAATGTTTATAAAAGGTTGATAGCTTAAAACTTAGAATTAAAGTGTACCTCTAAAATCATTCGAAAAATATTGTGTTGATGTTTAAAATACCAATTCATCCTCTCAACATCAAGATGTATAGATATGACGACAAAAAAAATTAAAGTCCTAAAAATAGTACATCTTGCAACACATTATCTGGATTATTTATTTTCTAGATTTTCACGTGTTTATATATATGTAGTTGATTTAAAGTACTTTTGGAGTTCACAATTTTACAATTAAAAAAAAACTCACAAATTTATAATTAAAAAAAAAACTTTGTTCTAATAAGTTTTGACACCAAAATTACAAAGTTTTGACGGGCAACTTAATTTGATTGCTTAATATTACAACCTTATACAAACCGAACCCAAATTAAAACATAATAATATTGTAAAACGCAAGCTTTCTATGCTTCCCCTACAACATAAAACTTATATACTTCCTTTTATCCAACCATCTATTCTGAATGGAGGGTTAAGATTGCCCCAATCACAATGGCACGTCTACACTATTTTATTTTTAATTTTTTTTCTATAAACTATTTTGACACAAAAATTTGGACGTCAAATCCTCTATTAAGCTCACACTAACAAAAAATATAAATTTTTATTTTTCAATAAAATAAAATAACAAAATTACTTTTAAAAGTTTTAAGGGGTATTTTAATCATTATATTTTATCAAAAAAATATTTTTAATATTTTTTATAAATGCGTTCCAATGAGAATATGACACGTACCAAATTTCATATTCTTTCAATTTGTATAAAAATTTTAAAATAAAATACTTTAAAACATCATATCGAAGATCAAATTGTAAGCGACTCTGTTGATCAAAATTGTAGGGCTGGATGCTAAGGTAAGCATAAATATTTTACGCTGTAGAGGAAGTACACAAACTTTTATCGATGGTAAAAGGGTCATTGGATAGAACGAGAATTGGCAAATTTGTTAGGGTCAACCACAAAAGCAACAAACAGCAGAGCTAGGACCTTCTGGGAATAATGAATTTTTTTAAGGATATACACTACTGAGCAAAGATTCTCTCTCTTCTCTCTCTAAGTATTCCCACCTCACTCTGCACTGTACTACTCCACACTGTACTTTATACCAGCGAACAATTGTCAAGAAAAGTAGAGTAAACACTCTTCTTTTTCGAGTTGTGTCCTCTTTCTCTCTCTACTTGTATCACTGGCTCCTTTATCTCTCTACATCGAAAAACCGCCTCTCTTTTTTTTACGCATTGTTTTGCTCCCAAATTTGTTTGTTTTAAGAACTATAAAGAACCCAACTTTTTTCGCTGTACTCTCTCTCTCACTAAGATCCAGCCATGGCTTCTATCCGTGTCTTTTTCTAAGCTCCACAAGCCATCCCCTTGCAAAAAGCCCAACTCCTTTTCGACAAATTTCACCCTCTCTCCAAGCTCCCCAAGATCCGTTAATGGCTTCCTGTTCTCTCTCTGTGCTGGCCATTTCACAGTGAAAGGTGTCTTTTACAGTGGGGCTCTCTCAGTTTTATTCCCTGTGATGTGGGTGAAAGTGGGCTCTCTTGGAGAAGAGAGCCTGCCTATAATCTGCAACTCTGAAGGCTTTTCGAGCTTCTGAAAGCGGTTCTCTGGTTCTTTAATGGCGCTTGTCTTGCAAAAGGACTCAAATAAGCACATGGATACAAGCAAATATGTGAGATATACGCCAGAGCAAGTCGAGGCTTTGGAAAGGGTTTACAGTGAATGCCCAAAACCGAGCTCTCTCAGAAGGCAACAACTCATTAGGGAGTGCCCTATACTCTCGAATATTGAGCCTAAACAGATCAAAGTCTGGTTTCAGAATAGAAGGTAAATGGGTTTTTTTCCCTTGCTTTTCTCCTTTTTCTTGAACCATGTCTTTAGCTTTTTCTTCTGCTGTTTCAAGTAGCAAAATGCCATATATATGTTTTTTTTTTTTTCCACTTTTTGCATGCTGAAGTTTTATCTTATCTTTAGATTATTTTGGTTTTGGTCCTTTTCTTGTATAGTTGCTTTTAATGTCTCATGTTTTAATGGCGACTTGGGGTTTTTTAATGGTTTATTTGTGCAGTGAAAATGGGATTATTCATTGTTGTTTTAAAAGTTTTATCCTTTATTGAATTTATTTAGGTATTTGTAGTTTTAAGAGCCATATATGGGTTCATTCACCTTATTCTGTGGCCTTTGATCTATTTTACTGAGATTTATAGGATTTTTTTTTCTGGTTCGTTTGTTGCATTTGCAGAAAGGCTTGCATTTATTTCATTCATTCACACACGCAGGCGTATTTAGGTGTTTTTGTATATTGTTTTGCTGGTTATAAAGGTCTTTTTATTCTTCATTTGATATTATTGCACTCTTTATTATGGCTTAATCTGCAAGGTGTTTTTCCTGCAATATCTGATCTAAATAAAAATGGTTCCTTTTTCATCTTTGCATGATAGATTCTTCTGCTTCCATTTTGTGCTCTAGAAATGGGTAGCGGATATAACATGGAAGGACCTATCAGAAGGCATTTATTTTCTGGCTTTCTATCTGTTTGGTTTATTTTTTGGGGTTTTTTTTCTTTTATTTATTGGTTTATGTGGTTTAAAGTTTTGTGGTTCTGCAAAATAATTTTAGTCCAAAGAGATGTTTCAGATGTGTTTTTTGTGTTGTCTGATAACCATCAAAGGTTTTGATTGCTTTGTGGTAATTATGGAGAATGGGTGCCTAAAAAAGTTGCTCTCTTCTATTGTTTATTCATAAGGCTTTCTTATTGTTTCTTTTACAGTCACTGATCTAATATTTGATCAGATTGTGATTATTGATGTATTTGCTGTTTTCTATATTTGTTTAAGATGCCGAGAGAAACAGCGGAAAGAAGCGTCACGTCTTCAGACGGTGAACAGGAAGCTCACGGCTATGAACAAGTTGTTGATGGAGGAGAATGACCGGCTACAGAAGCAAGTTTCACAGTTAGTGTATGAGAATGGCTACATGAAGCAGCAACTGCAGACTGTAATTACTTTTCTTTCGACTGCTTGTTCTTGCATGTACCATTCTATTTTTGTGTTTTTATGTTCTCTATTTATTGAGAAATTTCATTTCTGTGGATACCATTTAGAGATACTGTTTTGTTATGTATTTTGTTGGGTTTTTCAATCTGGCATTTTGGAATTTTTCCTTAAGGCCTTGACCTTGATAGAGTGGAAAATTTATCGCTTTTCGATGACTAGTTGGAAACAAGGGAAATCTTTTTGCTTGTGCCGTTGTTGGATTTTTTTTTTTTTTTGTCTTTGATTTCTCATCCCGCTAGTTTGATTATGTGATAGCCCTCGTGGCTTTGTGCATCTTCTGATGAAAGGTCCTTAATTAACCAAATCTCATGTCCTCTGAACCTGATGGGTGGTGGTTTCCTATGGGTTCTTAGGACTTTAAGTGAGTTCTAGATGTATGAAAGATTAGCTTGTTTGTATCCTGCTTTTCGTTGTTAGCATCCTTGCTCTCTGGTGTGTATTGAAGGTTAGATCTTTTGCTTAATTTTATGATAAATGAAGCCAAAGAGTGTGCGGCAGCACCCTAGAGAAAGAGAGAGTTTTCTCTTTTAGGTTGGTATTAGTCCAAAGTTTTATGTTCTCTTAAGAGTTTTAGCTACCTGAAGAACTTTTGTAACCATCTGAAATTTTTAACTAACCTGTCTTGAGTTCTTGATCTGTTGTAAGTTATGTCGGGCTGGGAAAGTGTGAACATCATCTATGAGGGACCCCTAAATTTCTGGATATTTCTGCTATTCTCAGTTGTCAATTAAATATTATTTTATATTGTTCACAGGCATCTGTGGCCACCACAGACACTAGCTGTGAGTCAGTGGTCACGAGCGGTCAGCATCAACAACTAAACCCAACTCCTCCCCCGCATCCTCCTAGGGATGCTAATAACCCAGCTGGGTAATTTCCTAATCTCTATTCTTGTATTGGTGGATTATCTATGGATTTCTTTACATTATTTGAATGAATTGAAGCTTTCATGTCTGATGTTACTTCGTGTGGGTCCCTAACACCTGGCTGTAATATTGCCTAGTTACCAAGAGCTTTTTTTTAGTTTTTTTAATTTTCAAATGGAGATGGTTGTAATTGAAGCTGAGATCTAATTGAAACTGGCCGAAATCCAGAAGATATTTAGGTTTCCTAATGATCTTCATGGTATATTTTTGAGCATTAGGCCCACTCAAGTTTCTGAACATTGGTATCTTTTTCCTAATTTTCTAACTTTTTCTTTAAAAGAAGTGATGTCTAAGTTTGCCTCGTTCTAAAAATTATTAAAATATCTGAAACCGAACTTTGTTTCTGATTTCTAACATCCCTCCCTTTTTTGTTCTCTCTTTTACTCTGCTGGCAGACTCCTGTCAATTGCAGAGGAGACCTTGGCAGAGTTCCTTTCTAAGGCTACTGGAACTGCTGTCGACTGGGTCCAGATGCTTGGGATGAAGGTATTATTCCTTAGTTGTCCGGTTGCATTTTAATATCTCCATAAAGTTGGTGCCGTTGTTGCACATAATTCTGTTTTTCATTGGACAAACTCATTATTTTAGGTTAGTTGTCTTGGATCCAATTGCTTATCTGCTCTTGTGGTTGCTTATATCTGCCTTATGTTGCAGCCTGGTCCGGATTCCATTGGAATCGTCGCTGTTTCCCACAATTGTAGTGGAATGGCAGCACGAGTCTGTGGTCTAGTGAGTCTTGAACCTGCGAAGGTATCTTCTCTTATTTTTTGATGTTCTAGTTCTTCTAAATGATTGGTGCTTTGGCTTCACTTTCGTAAAATCAGTGTGGACCTTTCTCTCTATAATTGATAAAATAATGTCTATGGGTATGTGATGCTGTGAATGTAGTGAACCAGTGATATAGTTTTCGTTTCCCATACTTTTTTTATTGGTTTTTTATTTTCCTTGACTCCCAAATGTTTTTGTGTTGCATATAAAGGTTGCAGAGATTCTCAAAGACCGCCCGTCGTGGTTCCGCGATTGTCGTAGCCATGATGTTTTGACTGTGTTCCCAGCTGGAAATGGGGGCACCATTGAGCTGATATACATGCAGGTTTGTTTGGAAGAATGGAATATTGAATTCTTTTGATAGAATGTTTACTAGAAAGTCTTGAGGTAGAAGACATCTAAGCTTCAGTATTTGAAGTAATATCCAACTGCTAAGGGTTGATGGTGGATATGATCTGTGCATGTTTATTTGTTGAAAGAAAATGAAAGAATGAATTAGATTCAGGAAGAACCGATAAATAATAAACTCATTGGAAGTTTATCCATGCAAAATAATGAAATAAAACGGTAAATATTAGCATCTGCACGATATCTAACTGGTAACATTGGCCATTTTTAGACCTATGCTCCAACAACACTGGCAGCAGCTCGCGACTTTTGGACACTCAGATATACCACTGGTCTAGATGATGGAAGTCTTGTGGTAAGTTATCTGAACTAGAAAGGGAAAGCTTTCTATGTTCCCCCTACAACATTGATGTTCTATCCTCCCCCTTATCCAACCCTCCTTTTTTTAATGGAGGGCTAAGATTGCCCCAATCACAATGTCATGTCTGTACACTATTTTATTTTTAATTTTTTTTTCTGTAAACTATTTTGACACCAAATTTTCAAAGTTCGTTCCTCTATTAAACTCTCACTAACAAAAAATATAAAATTTTTTTTTCAATAAAATACAATGACCAAAATACCTCTGAAAGTTTAAAGGGGTATTTTGGTCATAATATTTTATCTAAAAATTATTGTTAATATTTTTTATAGGTGCGCCCCAATGAGAAGATGGCACATACCAAATTTCATATTCAGAAAATTTATATTAAAAAACTAAAAATAAAATACTTTTGAGACGTCGGATCTAAGATCAAATGGTGAGTGGCTCTCTTGATAAAAATGGATGATTGGATGGTAAGGGGAGGATCGAACTTCTATGATGTGGGGGGAACATAGAAAGCTTTCCAAACTAGAAATACACTGCTTCTCTATACTTTTCTTGCGACTCTTGTTATTGGTGTGGTTCTCTTTACCTTTTTTGCGATTTTCTCACTGCTGTCTTTTTTGGGACTCTTACTATTGGAATGTGTTGAATTGTATGTTCAGGTATGTGAGAGGTCTCTTACTTCTTCAACTGGTGGTCCTTCGGGGCCAACCTCATTGAGCTTTGTGAGAGCTGAGATGATGCCGAGCGGCTATCTTATCCGTCCATGTGAGGGTGGAGGGTCGATAATTCACATTGTAGATCATGTGGACTTAGAGGTAATTATGGACTAGTTGGTCGAATTGCATTTCATTGAAAATTGATAATTAAGAGTGGATAGAAAGGGAGGATTATAGATAGGGATATGCATTGATGACATGAAGAGGGATGGGAGTTGCCATACTGATTAACTAAAAGAAATAGTTTTAGGCCATTTTAAAATAATAAATAATGAAATGTAGTAAATGATTTTTCTTTTACATCTTCTAATTGTATAAACATCAAATGATTATTTCGCCTGAAACTTTTGCTATTCAATAATATGGAAGTGAGTTAATTCTTCCTGCAATGATGTTACATCTCTGGATAAATGGGGCAATGCATCTAGGCTCTTTTTGTAATTTGAAATACTTGAATACCTTGAAACAAGTTGTTTGGCGTTCTTGATGATTATTATTGTTATTTTTGTTCAAGATGAAGATAAAAGCGATAGTTGGATGTTTGGTTTGTAACTTTCGTGATGTTGTGTAGGCATGGAATGTCCCTGAGGTTTTACGTCCACTGTATGAGTCCTCCAAAATCCTAGCGCAGAAAATGACATTAGCCGTAAGCATATTCTCTCTGTCTCTCTCTCTCCATGTCTCTTATATCTTTCTCTGTGTAGTGAAAATTTTCATGCAATTTCTCCGTAAATGGATGTTGCATTTTAGTGTGCATGGTAGAGAACTAGAAATTGAGATTCAAAATCATTTCTTGTTGTAGGCATTGCGCCACATTCGACAAATTGCACATGAAGCTAGTGGTGAAGTTAATTATGGTGGTGGTCGTCAGCCGGCTGTACTCCGGACTTTTAGTCAGAGATTGAGCCGGTAATTATTCTGTACATGTTACACTCCAATTATTAAGAGCTGATGGTTTATATGTAGGTATGTGTCTCTGTCAGAAAAGGAGAGAGAGAGAGAGGAGAGAGTCGCTCTTAAAATATTTGAAGAAGCCTAGGTGCATTTGTTGTGTACTGCAAAATTTTGTGTCCCATAATTGATGGAACTGACTCTTTGGCCTTTTTTGCAGAGGCTTTAATGATGCTGTGAATGGTTTTGCTGATGATGGGTGGTCCTTGATGAGTAGCGATGGAGTTGAGGATGTCACTATCGTACTAAATACAAACCCAAGCAAACTATTTGCAGCCAATGTCAATTCAGCTGCAGCAATATCTACTTTCGGAGGTGGCATATTATGTGCAAAAGCTTCCATGCTTCTTCAGGTTTCTCTTTGCTTCTCTCTCTCTTTCTGTGCCCCCTTCTCTTGAACCCATATGGGAAGTACTACTTTCATTTTGCTTCGTTGGTTACTTTGTGATTGGCCTCTGTTGGGCTCAATGGTCAATGGGAATGCTTGTCAACTGACAATTTTCCTACAGCTCTAAGATAAATTCTGTTCTATTTATTTAACTTGGGTATCTTTCAAATTTATGTTTCAAATTTAATGATCTTTGTGAAGTTGTTCACTGATAAGGAAAAGTTGTGTAGAATGTTCCACCGGCTTTGCTAGTTCGCTTCCTACGAGAGCACCGCTCGGAGTGGGCTGATAGTGGGGTTGATGCTTATGCGGCTTCGAGTATGAGAACAGGGCAGTTTGTTGTTCCGGGTTCAAGAACTGGTAGTTTTCCTGGTAGTCAGGTCATCTTACCTCTTGCGCAGACAGTTGAACATGAAGAGGTAAGTGCATGCTTTCTGCATTTGATGATTGTCATGCTCCTCTCAGAATTTTGTAAGCTTCATATTTGGAAAGCATTTCACAATTGTAAGAATATCTGTAGAAGATAACTACCTCTGTCCTTTTGTTTTCTGTATTATTGTTCATGCTAAGAAAGTATCTTTATCTTTTTTAGCAAATTGTCTCTTAAGAATCCTCTCTCCTTCTTTAAATAACAATTAAAACAGAAACCCTTATCCACAACCCATTATCCATCCTGAATCTTCCCCCGTTGCTGATGCTGCCTCCTCAATGAACAAAAGTTTCATTGTGTTATAAAACTGGGACAGCGCGTTGTACTGTTACCCCAAGCCTCCATTGATGATAACTCCTTCACGCACTCTCTTCCTATGTGAATTCAAAGAAACCCTAGAATTATCTCTAATTATCAATAAATTTCTAAAGTGTGTTGGTTTGTCTGGTTCCCTATACTTTTTGGAAGGGTGTAGTTGTCTTATTAAATCACTTTTGTTCTTCCGTGATTCTTGTACTATTCTGTGCAGAACTCTCTCAGGGACTTCTCAACGAACTTTGTCTCCCTAACTAGAAAGGCTAACCATGTTATATTTAATTCACAGTTTCTTGAAGTCATAAGGCTGGAAGGTCACGGATTCTCGCAAGATGATGCTGTTTTACCGAGAGACATGTTTCTTTTGCAGGTTGTGTCCGGATTGTATTAGTATCTCTCTCTTTCTCTTTCTGTCTACTTATTTTTGTGTCACTTGACTAGGTCGTCTCACTATTTTGGTATTTTTGGATGGCAGCTTTGTAGTGGAGTTGATGAAAATGCAGTAGGTGCTTGTGCTCAGCTCGTGTTTGCCCCAATTGATGAATCTTTTGCAGATGATGCTCCTCTGCTTCCTTCAGGATTTCGTGTCATTCCTTTGGATTCAAAATCAGTTTCGTGACTCTCTCGTTCTTCTCTTCCATACAATGTGATTTCAATTTTATGGTTTTGTTATAAGCACGTTTGAAGAATGCTGTGCATATGGTCGTTCGTACGTTGTACCCAACAAGTGCTGTCCTGGTTTCATTGCTTGTGAACATAATGACTTTATTTGTTTAGATATTAATATTTGGTCGCTTGCTATGTTCTCTTGAAGTGTTCTTTTTTCTGGTATTGAGTTTTTGTTGTCTTTTATAAATTTCGTTGGGTTTTTCAACCTTTTCCTATGAACGAGTGGTACATTTGCCCCTGCTTTGCGTTCTTTTAAGTAAAGAAAAGTCTTGTTTGGTTACAGTTTAATCTTTTGGTTTTAGTATTTAATTATCCTCCCTTATGTGCTCTTCTTTTAGGTTGCCTTTTACCAGTTTGTATTGTGAATTGAACTGTGATATAATATTGCTCGCTATGCAGGATGGGCCCGGTACAAATCGAACGCTCGACTTGGCCTCTTCGATTGATGTTGGCTCCACTGGGTCCCGTCCTTCAGGAGAGTCAGGAGCGAATGGCTATACTATGAGATCGGTTCTTACGATTGCTTTTCAGTTCACTTATGAGACCCATCTTCGAGACAACGTTGTCGCCATGGCTCGGCAATATGTACGAAGTGTCATGGCCTCTGTTCAGAGGGTTGCTATGGCCATTTCACCTTCGAGGATGGGTCCCGGTCTTGGACCTCGCCCACCTCCAGGTACCCCTGAGGCGGTCACTTTGGCTAGATGGATATGTCAGAGCTACAGGTATTCCTCTCTCTAAATCAGGTACTTGCATTCTATATTTCTTTTTGTAACCTCCACACTTTCACTCTCTCTCAAACTGACAAATCCGTTCTTGTAAGAGTCATGTGCATGTGTGGACACATTCTCCCTTTGGTCCCTTTTTTTGGGATCTCTTTCAATTGATTATTTTTGTGTTTTATCTCTTTTCGCGGGTTTTTTCTCCATGTCTTATCTGTTTTTTATCTCAATCTCTTTCTATTATTCTTTGTTTAGTGATGTATTTTTGTTTTCGTGCGCGTAGGTTCCATTCTGGTGTAGAACTTCTGAGGGTGGACTCTCAAGCTGGTGATTCATTATTGAAGCTTCTCTGGCACCATTCTGATGCTATCATGTGCTGCTCTCTTAAGGTAAATCATAAAAAAGCCTATTGTTAGTTCCTTATTTCCTTATTTCTCCCTTACTTTGTGTTCATGACGTCGTGGATAGAAAACTGAGCTGATATTGTTGTGTTAATGAACTTTGTGGAACTTGTTTAAGACTGCTCTCTTTGTTTCTGATGAAATTGAAACTGCTGCAGGCTTCTCCCATCTTTAGCTTTTCGAATCAAGCTGGGTTAGACATGCTGGAGACCACATTGGTGGCTCTCCAGGACATCACCCTTGATAAAATACTCGATGAGAATGGACGCAAGGTGCTGTATTCAGAGTTCCCCAAGATCATGCAACAGGTTTGTTGCATTCTCTTTCTCTTTCTCTCTGTGTATTTGTAATTGTGAGGTGCCCTCTCTCTCTAATATTTATAATGATTGTTCTCGTCCCTAATTCTCTCTATTTGTTTTATGTGAGTTTTCTGTTGTTTCTCGTCATTCTTCCTCAAGTGCAAGTGAAATGTTAACTAAATGTAAAGTACCTGTTCTGGTAGCTTTTTTAGTTTTGTATGAGCAGTTTAAAAATCGGCAAACTGGCTTGGATCAGGGGGTCCCCTAGTAGGGATGGTCCCATTAAAAGTAATCACCCCATGATGTCTGGGAACCACTTGGTTTACTGTCGGAGTTGCGGTGATCTTCTTTCATCATCTTTGTCATTGGGTTAACATCCTAGGTCTTGCATCAGCTTGCCAACTTGGATTTGTGGTTGTGTCAGTTGGCACTCATTTCCTCTTTTTTGAAGCACTGGGTTAATCTACTATGCTTTGCAAACTTATGAACTGATCTTGTTATGTTGCAGGGCTTTGCGTATCTTCCTGCCGGTATATGTGTTTCGAGCATGGGGAGGCCAGTTTCCTACGAGCAGGCCGTTGCATGGAAGGTGCTCAACGAGGACGACTGCACTCACTGCCTTGCTTTCATGTTCCTCAACTGGTCTTTTGTTTAGATTTTTACTTTTGAAGGAAACCTTGTTAGAAACAGAGAGAGGGAGGGAGATACTCTTCTAAAAATAGTATTTATGCTTTATAACTTATGTGTTGAAGTTATTTTGGATTATTTTGGGTATGGAATGGAAGGACCTGACTTAGGTTTATTTCTGATTTCTGCGAGTGTTTCTTGTGAATCTGGAAGTTGCTTGTGTGGGGGAGAGAGGCTTCCTTATATATTTATTTGAGTATTGCTTTATGACTTTTTTGTTGAAGTAGTCCATATGATGATTTTGGGCTGTTGATGTGTATGATTCATGCGTTAGTTTTAATTTCTGATTCCTTGGAGTTGATTCTTGTAAGTAGTTTAATGGGGCTTGAGAGGGATAGATTGTGTTAATTTCTATTGCGTCTTCTCTGTCGAAAGGGTTAGATTTTGAAAAGGAAATTTGTGCACTGTTTTTAATTAGATTGTAATTCATAGTCCTCTCTCTCAATAGCTTGTGACATCTACATTATCAGGACATGACCATACTGGATCTGACTGGTTAGACCACCGACATGTGTCTCGACTGATCAGGCCTACAACAATATTTGATTTGGTCGAGAATTGTTTCATGTTAGTGTTTGTTTGGTTTTAGCCAATATGATTGTGCGATTCAACCGGTTAAAACAAATTTTAGAATTTTAAATATATTTTATATTTTAAAATATTATTATTATTATTAGTTTATTTTTTCTAATATTTGGTCCAAAACTAGTAAGCGAATTGGCTTAATTTGACTCGACTGCTCAACAGTTCGTCCGCCTATCCTGGAAACTATGGTTTGTACTGCCATTGCTCATCATTTTGAAGTCTTATGCCTCAAATTTTTTTTGCAGTCTATAGTTATTGATTCTAACAAGATACCAAGGTCTCTCTCTTTTTTAGAGAAGTAGATGTCTCTGTAAATCGGACTTATACTCGCACTCTTTTGCTTAATACAAAAGCTTTTTTTAACCTATTGGAAATCTACGTGTTGGAAATAAATGAGATAGAATAAAACAATTGGTTGGTGTTAGTTTTTGTGGTCGAAAGTGAATAAACGTGAGTGAGAAGAGATGAGGGAGTGCTGTGAAATACTGGAGAGTGTTTTTATATTGCTTGAAATAAATTGTAGGAGGGTCTATCGTGAGAGAGAAGAGATGAGGGAGTACTGTGAATATACTGCTTGAAAACAAAATTGTAGGAGGGTCTATCGTGAAATCAATGGAAAACCAGGGGTTTGTACAAAATTTTCTCTAAATTTTATGCTCTAGGGGAAGATTAGAAAGCTTGCCTTTTATTGAATGGAATAAAATAATTAAATAATAAAATAAATATTTAATACATAAATATATAAATATCTTGTATTGTACGATGTATAATATATAATATATTTTTATTATTATATTATATAGTATATAAATATATTATATTGTATTATATATTTTATATGTAATATGTATTATTGTATTATAAAAATATATTTACTATATTAAATAAATAAATATATTATAATAAGTAATAATATAAATATTATACACATAATATACAAATATCTTATATTATACTATATATTATATATAGTATATAGTATAATATAAGATATTATAATAAATATTATGTTATATGTTATGTATGATACAATTATACATTAATAAGTTATATTATATTATACATTATATTATGTCAAATATGTTATATATTTATATTTGTATGATTACTATGTATATGTTATCAAACACAGCGTCTAGAACTTTCGTAACATTTAAGCAAGTTATCAAACATAATACCTTTCAAAACAAAATATTCAACTTTTCAAAAGATCAGAAAAACAAACGCCCCCTAAAGGAGATTTAAATATGAGAAACATTCAACTTTCCAGAAGATGTCTTTCAGAAAAACAAATTCTCCCTAAAGGAGATTTAAATAGGAGAAAGATATGGGAGGTTAGGTAGCTAAAGAATAAGGGGAGTACGTGAAGATGGGAAAGTTCTCTTATTTCAAAGGACTCCATGTGCACAAGAAAGTTTAAATAAACCAAAAAACAGGAGGAAGAGAGAAAATAGGGAGATGAAGAGCTTGGGAAGAACGTGTAGCAAATAGAGATATTGGGAAGAACGTGTAGGAGATAGAGATACTTTTTATGTGAGTTTTATTTATTTATTTATTTTAAATATATTTAAAGGGGAGAGCCTCTCATTATAAAGTATCAGAGAATGAATAAAGAATGAGAACTAAGAAATGTTGATCTTGTGAAAATATCTGAATTCAGAAAAGTAGATTTTTTGAAAGTACCTGAATCGATAAAAGTTGATTTTGTGAAAAGATCTGAATTGAATAAAATTGATATTGTGAAAATATCGTTTTAGGGGTGGACTCTCTTGTAGAATTTTTGGAGTCTGACTCTTGCAAAACTTGAGAGAGAGTAAAATCTCTTAAACTTTTATTTTATTTATTTTTTTTGATTGGTTATTATTTTATCTCTGCATTTGAACGACATGCCTCTATCTTTTTTTTAAAAAAGTAGATTAAGAGTTACCCGTTTGGTGTTAGTGGGGTGGTTTTAGTGGTGGGAATGAAAACCACGGTGTGGTGACTAGAGTGTGGGCTTGCTACCACTATGACCCGAGCCCTTTTCTCAAATATATTTTTAGTGCAAAGAGATCACAAATTACTTTTAACCCTTCGATGCAAAATCAAATCGATGAAAGTGTGTTGTAACATTTGAAAATTTTTACTTGTACTCAAACAATGACACATATTCAACTACATGAAGCAAGTAAGTGGGGCTTCTTTAAGAAAAGTCTTTGTCACTTGAATAGTGGAAATGGAATTTGAAGAATGGTTTGGTAGGGTACCTTCTGAATCGTGGTTCATTGTTGTGGTTCTTCAATTCCGAACCTTACAAGTCAATGATGATTGCGGGCTCAGTAAATGTTCATTATTATATATATATAATTTTTAAAATCACATATTTTCTATTTTATGCATATGTCATTATTTTTTTTTTTTCAATTCCGAAATTACCCCATACATCAAATGTCAAATCATCTTTTTTATTTTATAATTATTTATTATTATTTTTATTTTTTTCAATGAAAACCAGTTTCAGATGGTGGAAGTTCGAACAACTCACTTGTCACTAGGCCTATTCGGACATCCAATGTCTGAATCAATATTTCACTTGAAAAAAAGACAAGTGGCCGGATTCAGACGTTCAGTCTCCCCATTTTTCTTCTTTATGTGTGTGGGCTAGGTTTGATCCAATGTTTGAACCTAGGCACACTCGGGAGAAGAAAAAAGAATGGTAAATTGTTACAACCAATGTTTGAACGAGCCTTAACTCAAAAAATGTACTTCTTGGATGGGCGGGTTGGATCGTTCACCCACCGATCTTGTATTTTAAAACTCGGATCGTTGGAACGATCGTCCATCCATAAATCTGTATTGGATTGTTGGATTGGTGATCTGTATTGATTCTAGATAAGTCTGAATTGGTGATAAAAAAGAATAAAAAGAAAAAAAGAAAAAGGTACAATAAAATAAAATAAAATAAAAATAAAGGTTTATAGGGTAAGGATTAAAAGGTGCCTAAAAAAATTACAAAAGCTTAAAGAAAATGAAAAAGGTTATAAGATGAGGAGTTTTAGGGGAACTGGGTCGGCACTTATACCTTGCTAACTTCTGGATCATTGATCTAGATCTGAAATTGCCAAGTTTTGAAATACTGCATTGATTTTAGAATCGCAAGATCTGTGATCCAGGTAAGGTATATAGTATGAATTGAAAAAAAATAAAAAAACACTATTAAAACTAAATAAAATAAAATAAAAATTAACATGGACGTTTATAAGGTGGGGACATATAGAGGATCTATGAAAACACTAAATAAGCTAAAAATATGAACAATATATGAGGAGAATTTTAGAAGGTACCTGACTAGGACCATACCATCCCAGAGCTAGTTTAGTCATGGACTAATTCCCAAATGGATCGACAACCCACATTAAAAACCGTTGAGTTTTATGACATTGATTATTTGAATGGGGGAAACGAAAATAAAAAAAAATGAAAACCACGTGCAAAATATAAAGGTGCGGTTTCTCTAAGGTTGCAACCTTAAACAATCCAGTTAAGATGTAACTCCAAAATTTATTATAACATGTAGTTTTAATGTAAAAAAACGTACCGCCAAAATTTATCATAACATGTAATTTTAATGTAAAAAATTCTTAAGATTATCTAAAAATCTATTTGGATATCTAATTTTAAAATTTTAAACTTAAAAAATGACTAAAATCAACATATGAAGTTATTGAAAATGGACGGTCTAGATAACGTGTTGCAAGATGCACTATTGCTTGGACTCAAAATACTTCTTTTTCTTTTCACATTCCTACATCTAGATGCTGAGATGATCAAGTAGATGGTTTTTCAACATTAAAACAACCTTTTCCGATGGACTTTTGAGATACATTTTTAATTCTACATTTCAAAGTTGCAACCTTATATAAAATTTTTCCAAATATAAAAAGGGACTATTTCAAATTTGAAAAAATAACGAGATTTTAATACAAAATTCAGTTTTAACAATGGACGGCTTAGATCTTACATGGTGCACATTCATAGCATCCTATTGTGCTAGGCACTTTAGACTGTAGACCATTGTATTCCTTTTAGCTCCAGTTCTTCTTCCCGCTGGTTAACCAGGTTCTTCTTCTCTGAATTTCAGAGGAAATTAGGGTTCCTTGTTTTCTTAGCGAGTTGGATCTGAGGAAACTGTCTCTTTGTAAGTTTTCCTTTTTCACTTCTAATTTCTCGAAATTTAGGGTTAAGACAATATGATCTCTGTATATTTTCGTGAAAAATTCGAAGAATTAGGTTGAGTTCCCATACTACATAGTCTGTGCTCTGAATCATATGTTTATTTCGTTTTTCCCCTTTTGTGGGTAACTTTTTCCCCATCTGTAATTCATTGTCAAATTATGAGAAAAGAAAGAATCAAATGTTTCATAGCTTTTATAATTTGTTATCGATATCGTTTCACTTTTTGGTTTATTTGGATCTTGGTTCTGTGATAATACATTATAAGTTAAAAGATGAAAATTTTGCCAAGTAAAGTAAGTTATGGCTACACTTCTAAGATTTAGTGGCAATTTTGATTCAATTCGTACAATAATCGTGTTGTCACCACTCAATGGATCGAGTTACAGGACTGGTGTTTCCTAGTTAACTAAAAATTAGTTCTATAGTCAAATTATAAACCTATGATATATATATATATATATTATATTTTCTGCACGTAATGATAAAAAAAGTTATTTGATACTTCTTCTGAAGATTAGCTAAAATTTAGCTCTATACCTAAAAACTGAAATTATGATGAAACATTATCTACATTTTGTAATATAATGATAAAAAATTGTTTTGATAGTTCTCTTGAAGAATGTAGGTTTCAAAGTTTCTGATTTTTGTATGTTTGGTCATAGACCTGGAGAAAAGAGCTGTTATTTTCTCTCTATATATATTGTTAAATTTGTTGATACATTTCTCTATGTTGAATTCATGAATTTAGTATTTAAAATATGTATTTTTTCTTAACAGTTTCATATTTAGTCCAATAAAGCATAGTGAGCTATGTTTGCATTCCATTTATGTATTTCTCATTTTTCTTCATAATTTGCCCATTTATTTGGTTTCATATTTCCCTTGAGGCCATCTCAACTCTAATGGTGTGGTTGAGAAAAAATAATATACATGTTGGTCTACATTCTCATGTAGCGATGAAATACCACATGAGTATGTTACAGTGACATACATATAGATGCCCATATTTGGCATGGATATGAGTGTTTGATATGGTAATCTTAAAATTGGCCTTTTGGACACAAGGGGAAGTAGGATTTAGGCGGCATGGTGTACTTCTCTAAGGAGATTCCAAGAATAAGTGTTAAGAGAAAGTGTCTAGGTTTCCAAAGTGTTGGACACCGCTGTTGTGTCCTTTGTGTGTCGACTTACGTGAAAAACCATGGACACACGTGTCCAAGTTACATGAACTAATAAAAAAGAAGTGTTGGGTTATAGACTTTTTAATGCGTTTTGGACTACCTCACACTATAAGGTTATATAGCTTGAATCATGATCACTCAAAGTCAGGCATTTTCTTGACACCAATTTTTGGTAAAGTTCGGACCTTAGAAATCAAACTATATGATCACTTCTTAATTTTTTTTTAAGTTCTGATAATTGTGACATCTTGAGATAGTTTACCTCTCATCTGAGATTCTAAGGTATTATTATACATTCAATTGGAACATAATTGAGTTTTTGATACATGCTTAGAACTATGGCTTTCTGTTCTGTATTGCATTATGTTAGAATGGGTTGATCAGAATTTAATGGTTGTGTCCCTAATTCTGAAGTGACACGTCTGAAGCTTTGTGCTCATTATATTGTCAAGGAGAGCTTGAGGATGCTGTTGGCAATTAGTGTTGTTTTACTAAGAACCAGTGTTAAGAAAATTTCTGGCTTGGGCTTGGCTCACCCTAGGCACTCAGACATGGCAAAGTGCTGGTCCTGATCACTTACCCTAAAAATCAAACAACTTCGATCCGAGACCAAATTTCTTATGTATTTTTTAATAGAGACACCTGAGGCCTCTGTCCCAGGCTTGAGATCATGGCAAGTCAGAGCATGGTCCCCAGTTTTTAAACATTGCTAAGAACAGTGTGTCATATAGGGCTGTTACGATTTCGTTCCCGCCATGACTTACACCTTATTCAACAATCTAGGTGATCTATTTCCTTTCTCTGAAATCTTTATCATTATAGACTTATAAGACAATCTTGTGTTTGACATCTATTGAACTGATTTGAATACAAAAAAAAATGTAATGACATAAGTTTGCTTTAAAATTTTTTGGAGTGTTGTAGCAACTTCAAAAATTCGGCAAATAAATAATTGATATGCTCCTTATCCACTTCCCTACCTCTTTGTCTACCACATCTAAGTCAACAGGCAAATCTACCGAAAGGTAAAAACGAAAGATGATGCTTAAAATTGTCTTATTGATGATTGCTTGGAGTGGCTGAGGTTTGAACAATCATAGTCGAGCTGATGGTCAAACGATTGAAAGAGGATTTCTTAAGGTATTTCAAACTTTATGGAGTACATATTATTCTACGCCTTTAGATATCAGATGATATATATATATATATAATATATATATTGAGAACTATCAGATGATACATGATTTGCATACCAGATTGAGTGCTGCAAGACCTGTTCTGGTGAACCCAGCCTGAACCCTAATTGGGTCAGTTATAGATGCTAACTTGGACTTTGAATGCCTAGTGGAGAACTCGAGAGACCCAACCAGGTCCATCAAGTCTCACATCACCAAGCTGGTTTATAAGATTTGGTCACATTTGTCATTTTGGCTTTCTATTTTTCCCCCTTAATTTTTTGCAAACTTAATAGTGAAAGCCATAAAAGTTAAAAGGACAAAATTTTGCTCTCTTGATCCACTGTGAACAGATTCCCCCTTGCCAAAAAATATAGTTATACGAGCCTTTTGATCTGAGAATTATCAGTTTGTCTTTTACTTATCCCTGAGGTCCATTCTCAAAAGGAAAAAAAGAAGAAAAAGAAATGATATGAAGCTTAAAAATGCTCAAGATATACTTCCCATGAAGAATTGATTATGGACTCTCCATTCAAGCGAGATCAGATCTAAGGCATAAGGGCTCGAAATGTTTTTTTTTTTTTTAAGAATTTCACAAGGTGAATCAGAGATTGTATTAAAATTTCAAATGAAAAGAAACTCCTGTAACAATATGTTTTCAGTGGGGGAATATGTGTTCATAGTGCTCTCACAGTACCACCATATGTGCCCTTAAAAAACAAATTTTTTCATTGAGCAGCCAAGCCAGAGCTGCGTCTCTCTTCCTGAACCACACAAAACCCCTAATATCAAAGAGAAGGAAACTGAGCAAGGAATAGGAGAGGATAAAAAGAAACAAAATAAGATCAACTTCAGGTTAACCTTCCAACTTACCCCCCAAAACGTTAGTTTTTCGTTTTATTTTTACAAGTTTATCTGATAGATTTTTTTTTTGTAAAAATCCTCTGATTCAGTTTGCTTGTCTTTTATCAAAATGAAATTAAAGAGATTTTCAGCAATTCTGCATTAAAAAAATTTCAAGGATCGATTGGATAAATTGCTTTGTGTACTGAGGTTGGTAGGCAACTTATGGAAACTCATGAATAACCCATGGATTAGGCCAATTGAAATGGTCAGACTGTCCTTTGCAAGAGAAAATACGGCCTGATATAGAAGTCAATTGTAATGAGGCATATGGTTTCACAAATATTTCCATTCGTCTGGAAATGCTATTGATATATGATTGCTTGAGAGGTTAGTATTATACCCAAGCCTTACTCTCTGTGTGGGTGGGTGGGCATGGTTTGGCACGCACAACAGAGAGAGAGAGAGAGAGAGAGAGAGAGAGAGAGAGAGTATACAAGTAGGAAATCGATAAGGAAATGAGAGAAGAAATAATGGGTATTGAGTGGTACTTTGTTCTCTCAATGCAAGAAAATATAATATTTTGTTCGTTTGAAATTCTTGATTTGCCCGTGAAAGACTGTAGCGCAAATTTCTTTATCTACTGTTGAAAGGTTTTGATTCATTTGTTTTTACTCAGCAGCGACGTGCAGATGGATGTGTCTGAGAGGGGGTGCATAGAAGCGGCTTCTGAAGAAGTCTCTCATCAATTCAGAACTCTCTTGAATTCAGAAGATGTTGATACCCTCAAGCATTTGCAGCTCTTAATGTGTGTTTAACTTTACAATATTTATCTCTCTTTCTTACATTTTGTGTGGGTCCTTAGAGATTTCCTTTCCTATTGGAAATTGTCTTTTGGGCGATTTGTTTGAATTCATTAAAGCTTCAAATTCCTTTTGGAGATTTTCATCGATAACAATATTTTTATAATCAGTTGGCTGCTCTCTAGTATTTTGAGTTAGATGATGCTGCTTGAGGCCCCTGACAAATTTTTTGTTGAACACATCTCTAACCATTTTCCTTATTAAGAGCAGTGGAGAAATTATTTGAAATTTAAGAAAGTGAGGCTAATTCTATTATTAAGTTTGAAGAAACTGATGCGGGATTACTTTTGTTCTAAATTTTTGACACACACACACCCTTTGAAAAAGCACCCAAGGCGGCTTTATTTTGCATGCTGCTGTAAAACCACCTCATGTGCGTCTCTCTCTCTCTCTCTCACACACACACACCGCCACCCACACACACACACAAAGGGACAGAGAGAGTGAGAGAGAATGCAGCATTTAACTTTGGCTTTGTGATAAACAGATTGGGAAGGCTACAGGATAGTAATGCGGTCTTATCGCATTTTAATGATTTCTCGGAGCAGTGTTATGCCGAAGTGGTGAGCGATTTCACAAGGAGTACGCACGTCCTGAGATCTATGAAGGCGGATCTTGATCACATCTTTCAGACCCTGAGGTAAAGATGCCTAATTTACGCCCATAATTGTCAATATTGTTTTGTTGCATGTTTTGTTTGCTTATGGGCAAACTAGCTGGAAAATAAGACTCCTCTTTCATCTTCTTTTTCTGTAAGCTATTTTGTAAGTTATTTTTGTGTACAATTGTTTTTTTGGAAGTTATATGTATATGTGTGTGAGCGAGAGAGAAACAGAGGGGAGGAGGGGAGTTCATTGTTGCACGAGAGAGGGATCTTCACTGCCATATGAGAGAAAAGAGAGTACGTTGTCATATGAGAGAGAGCATGGATTTCATAGGTTTTCATGTGTTTTCACCTGATATGAGAGTGAGAGAGAGAGAGAGAGAGAGATAAAGAGAGAATGGATTTCTTGTGTTTTTGCCTGATAGTCTTTGGCGAGAGAGAGAGAGAGAGAAGAGAGAAAGAGATCGATTTCTTGTGTTTTTGCCTGATACAGTCTTTGGCTAAGGAGAGTATGTACTTGTATGCCAGGAGTATGAAGGCAAAGATATCCAGTCATTATCCGGATGCTTTCAAGGAAGCTTCAATTGCAGACCAAAGACCTGATCTGGAAACGCCCTTGTAAATCTTTCACACAACCCCAAAGAAGAAAAGAAAAACAAAACAATGACTAGTGTAAATTATTCTTGTGGTGCATTTTATATTCCTATCTGTATATTTTTGTACTTGAAGTTCTCTCTCTTACTCTCATATAGTCTACCAAATCTCTCTCTCACACGGTCATCAAATCTCTCTCTCACACAGTCATCAAATCTCTCTCTCTCTCACACAGTCATCAAATCTCTGTCTCTCCGCTCTCTCACACACACACAGTCACCAAATCTTAGCTCACTCTTTCTCTCACACACACTACACGCATGCGCACACCCATACATAGTCACCAAATATCTCTCTCATATACTCACCAAATGCCAATGATACTGCAAATGACAGTGATTTATATTATTTCTGACTGAGCAATGTTCCATGGGAAAAAAGCTGCAAATCACTTGGCAAATAATTTATATTATTTCTCACTAAGCAATGTTACAGGGGTAAAAAACAACAAATCACTGCGAAAGTAATTTATGTTATTTCTCACTGAGCAATGTTACAAGGGGGAAAAAAAAAAAAACAAAACAAAGGAGTTCAGCCAAAATTTGGGCAAAATTTTTACGCCAACAAACAGTAATGATCCATACATGAGGAAATGAGCGGCTTAGTTGCAATACATGCTTTCCAATTCATCCATCAAAATATATATATAGAGGGAGAGAGGGAGAGAGAGATATATATAGAGAGAGATGAAGTGCCAATTTCAGTGAATCCCCCACTTACTGAATATCGAAAAGCTTAGAAGATTTTCTACTGCTGCAGGAGTATTCTATCTATTTACTGATGTCTAGAGATTACGGTTGGCAAAGGATCCGGAACCGACCTGGGACAGATGTATCAAGATTAGGGGTGGCAATGGACCTGGACCCGACCTGGGACCCGAGGGGTAGACCTGATATGGGTCTTGGTCAAAAAATTGAACCTAGCATGTCGGGTCCAAGTCTAAACTTTGGATCTGAACACTATTCGGGTCCAGGTCTGGGTTCGATCTGGTCTGAGTTTGGTAATGTTTTTGAGGTCTTAATATTTAAAATATATTTAAATATAATTAAATATATAAATATTTTAATCTTTAAGTCGGGTATGATTGGAGTCAGGTCCGGGTCTGCCACCCCTACTCACGATTAAATAGGGACCAAACTCTATATAAATAACTGATGCCTAAATCACCGAACAAACTCTATATAAATAACTGATGCCTAAATCACCGAACAAACTCTATATAAATAACTGATGCCTAAATCACCAAACTCAAAATTCAAAATTTTTCTTTTGAAAACACACGCTCTCTCTCCCACGTCCATGTATGTATGGAGTTGGTGAATGGGAAAATGCAGTTCTCTCTCCAACTATTACGCCCACCTCCTCCATGCCCTCCGTGCCAACCTCACCACCGCCCTCTCCATCCACGCCCAAATCATAAAAACCAACACTCCCCTCACCCCCTTCCTAACCTCCAACCTCATCAACCTCTACGCCACTTCCTCTCTCTTCAACCAAGCCCACCACCTACTTAACACCGCACCCTCTCTCAACCCCGCCTCTTGGTCCACACTAATTGCGGCACATGCGCGCAATGCTCAGCCATTCGAAGCCCTTCACCTCTTTCAACGCATGCTACGCCACCATCCTTCTCGCCCCTCGCAACAGTTGATAGCAAGCCTCGCCCATGCATGTGCCTCTCATTCCCTGCTTTTTCCTGGTTTTCAAATCCATGGGCTTTCGATTAAATTGGGGTTCCATTGCATGCCTTTCTCGGGGTGCGCTTTGGTGGATATGTACGCTAAATGTGGGTGTGCTTTGGAATCACACAAAGTGTTTGATGAAATGCCTGAGAGAGATGAGGCTTCTTGGGGTGGCCTGATTTGTGGATATGCTCGCAATGGACGGCCTATGGAGGCCATGGGTGTGTTCGTGGAGATGGTGAGGGTGGGAGTCTCGATGAATGCATTTAGTCTGTCATCGGTGTTGAGGGCATGTGCAGAAGCTGCGTTGTATGAGCCAGGTAGAGCCATGCATGCGTTAGCGGTGGCTATCGGGCTCGAGCAAGAGGCCTTTGTGGGGTGCGCACTGGTCGACATGTATGGCAAATGTGGTGACATAGATGATGCTAGGCTTATCTTCGACTTCATTCCTAATCCCAATTTAGCGTCCTGGAATGCAATGATCATGGCATATGCTCACCAGGGGAGTGCAGAGCCAGTATTTCGACTTTTTGGGAGGATGAAGGAATTGGGTTTGGCTTTGGACGAGGTCACCCTTCTTGGGGTGCTCAAATCGTGCACCAATGCTGGCCTTGCAGACGAGGGGTTGTGTGTTTTGGACGCTATGCAACATGGGTTGTATGGTGTGAGGCCTGGCGTGTGCCACTACACGTGCGTGGTTGGAGCACTCGGTCATGCGGGGCGGTTTGAGGAGGCAGAGGGCCTCATATTGAGCATGCCATGTGAACCTGACTCGACCGTATGGCGTGTTCTTCTCTCAGCATGCATGGCCCACTCGAACATGGAGTTGGGCCTGCATGCTGGTGAGAAAGTTTTATCTTTTGATCACCACGATGATGCTTCATATGTGATGCTATCCAATATGTATGCGTCGGCAGAGAACTGGGATGAGGTTGCTAGAGTGAGAAAGATGATGCACAAAAGAGAAGTGAGAAAGGAGGCCGGGCTTAGTTGGATTGAGGTTCGAAATGAAGTCCATTCTTTCACAGCGGGGGATCGATCACACCCAGATACGGCAGAGATTTATTCAAATCTCAAGTTTCTTCTGTATAGGATCAAGGAACTCGGGTACGAGCCTGATACCGGGCTTGTTCTTCACAATGTAGAGGTGGGGAGGAAGAAAGAGGCTTTGAGCTATCATAGTGAGAAGCTGGCTGTGGCCTTTGGGGTGATTAGGGTGGCTCTAGGGAAGCCTTTGAGGGTTATCAAGAACCTGCGCATTTGTGGTGATTGTCATGTTGCCATGAAGCTGATGAGCAAGGTTGTAGGGAGAGAGATTATTGTTAGGGATCCCCATCGTTACCATAGATTTAAGGATGGGCACTGCTCCTGTGGGGATTACTGGTGATCAATAAATTATTGAAAAATGGTTTGATAAGCTGCAGGCCTATCAAAATAAGTAAAGCCTCACCTTGTCGCTCATCAAAAATTGGAATTCAAGCATGGGAAAATCTTTACATTGATTATCCAGGCTTGAACATTATGGTTGTGAAAAAAAAAAAAAGGATTTCAAGCTCTGAAAATACTGTCTTGTAAAAAATTATGTAGACCATCCATTTCGTCCAGAAAATAAGTGTCCATAGATCCGCAAGATATATACATTTTTTGAATTTGAAATTTACTGTTGATGTTGGAAATTGATTTTAGAGCGCTATCATAGATATTTCCATTGCCAAAAGTGTTTTTCCGATGAGGATTTGAGGTGAGGCTTTATTTTGTATTCATAAACCCTAGGCCTTGTAAAACTTCATCCTAAATTATAAACAATTGAAACGTGCAATGCACACAACAGTACGCTTCTTGTTTTTTCTTTGAACTTGAAGATAAATATGCGGACATCCTTTGTAGAACTTTAGTGTCTATAATTATTTTAATTTTTCATTAGTTATGCGTGTTTTTTATTTTTTTATTTTTCTACATTTCCTTTTTCTTATGGTTTTTTGATACCTTTTTTGTTTTTATTTTTCTCTACTGAACTTGACCCATTGCTCGACTTTCTTATGGTACTTCGAATTTTTTTTTAACCCCCTCTTTCTTCTTATTTTAATTTTGTATAATCTTTAGTCTTAAAACAACTCAAAGGCAGCCCAATATAAATAGTTTAAACCAATGTGAAAGCCAGAACTAACCCTTGTTCAATGAAGACAAGTGAAATGCCCTTGCCATTGGCCTTTTTATTGGATCAATTTGATCAATATCAATGGATTAGAGGGAGAATGCTACTCAAAATTTTGAAGAAATTGAAGATCGATTGAACATTTTGCTGGCCTTACAACCCATAATCGCACTAAAAGTTAACATGGGCAAAAAGATTGATTTCATAGCAGTAAGCCTTGGAAACAACTTACTGGCTGCAAATTTAAGATGTTGGCCATTTGATGAAAATGGCGTGAAGAGAATAGGAAATACACTCTCATTATATAGAGTTCTTAGTGGCTGCAAATGTACAGTGCAAGTGAATAGTTTCATATTGTTACACTACACAACGTGACTGTTGGATCTCAAAGAACCTCCATCAACTATTATCAGCCGGCGGGCATAGGTAACGGGTCGGGTCCACATCCAAAACCTGGACCCCAATACTATTTGGGTCTGGGTCTGGATCCAGCCGAACCCGACCTGTACCCAACCCGTTGCCCCCCTACCTAACCATGGTTAATTCCCTTGTTAGTTCTCTACATTCTTCTCCAAAGTCCTAACCTTGGTTAAATCTTAGTTAATGAGAGAGTGAGAGACCGAAATCCTAGGCAAAAACAAGTTCACCAAGATTAACCCTAGGCAAGATAGGCAGGAGTGAATTGACCCATATCCCTTGGGCTTTGGTTAGAGGAAGAATAGGGCTCGATACCCATCCTAGAACAAATAACTTGGAGGCCAGTAGGCTTTTGGCTACCTCACTTCCCTCTTGGGAGATATTCTCGTGCTTCCCTTCCCCTTCCTCTACCCACTGCGTGACCAGACCTGGTGGGGCATCCTCCGGCATGATATAATCCGGATTGTCTAAGAGGATCTGCTTATCCAGATCTCGAGTATACGTACACCCCAAGGTAAGCACTTAATTTGTAGCACTTGCTTCCTTCAATTAAGTTGTTGGTTGTTGTTGATTTTGCTTGTGTGAACTTTTATTTTCGCCTTATTCCATTTATTGGGGTCAATTAAATGTATCTCACGTACGAGCACGGTGGCGAGCCAACCATTTGAAAGCTTACAGTCTCCTCTACAATTTGAAAACCAATTTTGGCCCAAGTGAGTTTTGAGGGGTCTATGGTTTTAGGACTCTAAGACATTAGTTTTTAGGTTTATGGGTGTCCGGTTGGTATGCAGGGTAGTTAGATGTGTTTCTTAGGCTCAGGGGTATCTAGAATGACTACATTGAGATAATAAGTGGGTTAAAAGGCTTAGTTTTAGGTCTGGAATAGGTCTAAGAAAGCTCTAGGTCTAGACCTGGTCTGGACCCTATGGTATTGGGGTCACGAGTCTCCAATAATTCCCTTAGCCAGAATAGGGTGCCTACACAAGTATAAACAATTGTGGCTGAGAACATGGGTCTCGATCATGTTTGATTGTTTGAGGGATCAAAAATATTATCTTAATTTCTTGTTGTATTTCCTATGTGTAACTATCTATTATAGCAGTGGAGAGGTTATATGAATAATTAAGAATTCCGATCTATTGGCCGCATTGTCGGATAGAAAGGTGGAGGAAGTGGGACATGAGAGCGTAGATGAAGTCTTTAGTGATATTACAAAGAATTTCATAGTTGCAGGGAGGAAGTTGATGGGTAAGAGGAAGCATTTGGTATGGATCCTTTGTGCTAACCACTCCATTAACCTAATGTTAGAGGACATTGGGAAGCTTAGGACCATGAATGGCGGTAATGGAGATAACGAAGACGATCATGAAGTAGATATACAACCACTCTATTGTCCTTCATTTGATGAGGACACACCAATGGAAATGAGCTAGTTAGGCCCTTCTTCACACACTTTGCGAGCTATTTCTTATCCACAGTCGCCTCAAATGAGTGAATGAGTGGCCCTTTCCCAAAAACCCAAGCTGCATAGATAGTTGAGGGAGAATTATTAGCAGGAGATCAAGGATTGGCGCAACTAGGTTGTGGCAGGCAAACTCCTCTTGTAGTGGCATTGAAGGTGGTAGAAGCTGATAAGATGTCTAATATAGGATTCCTCTATGGTGCACTTCAAAGAGAAAATGTCCCTATGAGAGATACTTTCTCATTTTTAAGCATTGGTGATGAAGCTCAATTAGGATTGATGGAAGAATCAATTGGGCCAACCAATTCACTATGTAGGCATACGGTCTTTAGACCTTCAGTGCTTTAAACACATTTACAGGTTTGATTATGGTTCTATTTTTATTATTGATTGATGATGGTATATTTATCTTTTTCTTTTACTATATAGCATTTAAAGATTTGATTATGGTTCTATTTTTTATTATTGATTGATGATGGTATATTTGTCGTTTTGTTTATTATATTTGCACAGCCCGGCCCTAACAAGGCCAGGTCTAGGGTCTCATCGGCTCGGTCAGGGCCGGCTGGGATGGTCCCCAGGGATAGCCTTCCCCAGCCCAAGCCCCCACCCACTGCCAGCCCTAATCAATTTCTTTCCTATGCATCCTTTCCCCTTTTCTTATTTTTAATACTAGTTCAAACCGTTTTTTGTAAATTATTATTATTATTTTTTTCAGCTGAATTGCCCGAGCTACATGGCAATTGGGCATACTAGTTATACGGCATAGAAGTCAAGGTGTTCTGTAAAACTTGTTCTTCTATAAGTGAAACTAGAGTAACTTCAAGTGGATGCACACCCAAGGAGGAATATAATGACTACTTTCAACCATTAGCGGCCAGAGTCCTAGCAGCAGGGCGGGGGAGAACATGAGGAATCGACTAGCCTTGGGGACCTCGGGGTTAGGAGGGCATCCCTACCATAGTTGTACTTGAACCAACATGGTGGATATAATTAATCTAGTTGTCAAAATCCAAAACCCACAAACTCATTCCTCAATTCGCCTAAAGGCACGGTGATGAATTCGATTCGAGCCATCTTGTCGTTCATATTTGCTCTAGATTGTATATTTTGATTTATGTACATATGCTTTTGATATTTGAGTCTTCATATTGATTTTGACTTGTTTATGTCATTTTAGATTGTGAAATAAATGTGTGGTGCTTATATAGGAACCAGATTCTAGGTATTGATATATGCTTGGTAATTTCATTAAAGTAAGCAATAGCGGTCTTTTCTTCTGCAAACCATAGTAAGTCGTTTTTCAGGTTTTTAGGGCTTCGTACAGCCAAACCGGTCCTAATAGCCAATCGAAAACAATTCAACCGATAACCGGTTCAGGACCCAATTCCGGGTTTTAAAACACTGGGTCATAGTAGTAAACATGAACTATGGGTTTATCACTGCCCAATAATTTGATTGGATAATGGAGGAGAGAAAGTAGGGCACAGAGAATCATACAGTGGGCCCAAATCCCTCGAACAGGGTCCAATCCATCGATGGGAATGGTGACTAGCTCTGAGTTATTATGATCAAATGGATCATATTCTATGGGCCCAAAGAAAATCTGCATAAACGACCTTTAAGAAAATGAGAGAATGAAATACATAACCATATAACACATTTTTCAGAAATTAAATGTATAGATAAATAAAAGTCCCCACATTCAAATTTCTTGTCTCAGCAATACTTGGCTCAAAGCATGTTCACTGCTCACTTCCTACTCTGACCCTTCTTAGTATTTACATTTCCCACTACATGTAACCATAATTTTGGCTGGTTTCTTGCAATCATAAAAGATTGAGAGATCGATAAAGTATAAACCACATGTGCTATTGTGAAAACAAAAAATGAAATTAACCTGTTCCTCAACTGCCTTCACCGAATTCCCTACAATTTTGAGAAGAAGAATGTCACAAATTAATGATACCGAGGAAAAGAAAGACAACAATAACCAAAAAACTGGTAGGAGAATTTCTCAAATTTTTAATATTTTACAAACTTGGCACTGCAAAGCTAGGCCTTGTTAGTATGGCATTGAAAGCCTTAAGATCTTTCGGCTGGCATGGAATGAAATGAGCTCTGAAGAAGTCATCAAATTGCATCCAAGTTGTAGATAATGCATTTTGAAACTCTTAAGTACAATATTAAAGCATAATAAAATGGATAAAGTTGTAGTCATTCAAATATGAGTCACAGATATGCTATTTAAAGGCCAGGGGTATTTTGGATCTAAACTGCCAATGATTCAACATATGTCTCTGAACTACTCACTTAAATTTGATCCATGCATTTATTTCATATTTTCTTGGTTGTGGAAAAAATACTAAACCTACAATTATAAAATGCTGTAACAGAAAATTCTTCAAGAAAACAAATTATATATATTGAATTTCAATGGTTTTCCCCACGTGCATGCGCAAAAATACATTTGTCGTATAATAACGGGCAGAGTAACAAAATATTGAATAGCTTGAAACAACCATAGGGAAAAATGCCCAAGATGATTGCAAAACAATCAATTTTAACATAAAAATGAAATAGTAAAATGACAACCATTCATGATCATGTTACCTTAAAGGCTCATGTTGGGATAAATATATATCTTGCTTGTCTTCATAAAATCCCTATACACAAGAGAAATGGAGAGTTACAGACTGAATAAATTAAGAAAGATACTCAAGGAAGCATATCACTCCCATGCTACAGATCTTGTCAAGCACGTGGAAGCCCCCCCCCTTTTTATGCTTCTAATCATATTAATTAGAAGATCCCTTTGTTGCACTGGTGTTAAATTTTTTTTAATTTAATAGTATAAAAGGAGCACAATAAAAGTGGCGAAATTTTGAACCACATCATTGATAATGAAATGCAACCCCCAAACTTTTGTAACTTTAACACCAAGGAAGAAGACGAAAAAACACACAAATTCTAATAGCTCAATTTCTCATCTATATCAATGTACTAAATCACTAGTTTAGGCCATGGCAACCTTCAATACAAATGTTCATTTACTTGCTTAAACAAGGCATGAACTGGAATTCTCATTTCAAACTCCACTTACAACAATCAAACTTTGATATGATTAATAGCTCTCTGTGTAACCTTACCCTAATAAGACAAAAAAAGAATGTTATCTTTTTAATTCATTTGGCCTTCATTCTTTATGCTGGTTTTTATATTAGATTGTACATGCATGGTTCCATGCACTTCAATTGAATTTATTGTAGAATTGTAGATGGAGTAATAAAATCCACACAGTTCAATTGCAGTCATACAAAAAGTCATGGAATAATAAAATTTTCTGTTTAAGGTTGGACCACTTTGTGTTAATACTTCAATATAATTATTCATTTACCCAAAAAAGTATATAATACTTCAAATTAACCATTCGACTTACAAAAAAACCAGAAAGAAACTTACTTGTATGGTTCCTTCCCAACAGATCTCCGAATTCCGCCAGGTCCATCATAGAAGAGACCACTGCGAAGCTGAGAGTCTGTCATACTGAACATATGAGCTAGGTTCTCAAGCAAATGTTCATATGAGTGAAAGAGGGAAAGATTAATCCATCGGCCAATGGTGTCATTAACAAACACCTCACAAAATCTGACATGACCTTCCTTTTCGGGTTCGTCATTTAAAGTCTCTTGTGGTTGTGCCATGCTTCTGGACCTTTTTAACCCCCTAAAATGAGAAGATTCTAATGCCAAAGCATTGGAACCATTGCTAGAAAGCTCAGTGTCATGATTCTCCTGCGGAAACCCATCACTTTGAGATTGGTAGTTACCATAACCTTGTGGAGAAAAGCAATCTAATGTTAGTATCATGAGAGTCATAACAAAAGAATTTTGTTGGTCACTATGATTGTTATAGAACTTACAATTGTTATGGGTTTGATTATTTTGGGAATTGGATGAGGCGGCTTTGGAAATTGGCTCATGCCTAGCTTCCTGAATGCTGGTGATAAAACTGTTAGATTTGAATTGCCTTTTGTCATTGTGACACCTCATTTCATGTTCACTGCAAGTCGAAATTCGGGAGCCAAATAAGAGCACGAATTTCTCTTTTTCTGCTAATGTTGAGGGCTTATCTTGTTCATTCTCTTTTTCTGCTGATGTTGAGGGTTTATCTTGTTCATTGTATGGCGATGGAGAAACAACTTCCACCGACCATGGGTTGACTCTCCCCGTGTTGGATCTATCCCAAGCAACCTGATAAAAAGAGATATAAGGAATCAGAAAAAGATACTAGGAACCAGTGAGGTATTTTATTTTCTGGTTATCAAGAGGTGTTTGTGTTAACATGTTATAATGCATGTTAAGTGGATTTCATGAAATAAAAAAGAAATGAAAAAGATTTCATGTCAAATCCTATCTAACAAACTATTTTATCATCCTGCATAATGCAACAAAGCTAAAATCCTGTAAAGTACTCAAAAGTTTATGGCAGTGTTATGAAATGTGGGATGCGGCCCGATGCGTTAGGGGGTGGAGGGGGGGGGGCATTACCCCGATGCGGTCAATAAATATAATTTTTTTTTTAGAAAATCTAAGGAAATAGATTAATGCATAGGACAAAATATGAAGGTAATTTATGTGATAGTAGGTATTTAATTTATTCATTAAATTTAAAAATATCAGTTGTTAGAGATTCTGTATATTTACTATCCCCTAATAGATTATAGAAGACATTAGAAAGTAAACAAACTTCATACAACATTCAATAACCATAATCACAAATTTGTTGTCAAAATTTCGCTAAAACTTCCCCAAAACAACATATTCAAAATAAACAAAGCAACAACTAAAGATCATACAAAACAAAAATCCAAGAATTTTGAAAAATAAAATTTTCGCCGTTTTTTTTTTTATCAAATTGATCTTGTAAAGGCCTCATATGTGGCCGATTTTGGTGGTTGGGAGGGTGTTAATACCCCAAACCCTTTCCCCCCTTTTTTGGGGCTTAAAAAGATAAAAAAAAAGTACCCCTTCTCGAGGGGGTATTTTTCATTTCGCATGCGGGCTGCATATGCGGTGGGATATGCTGGTGCATCCCACCAAAAGCGCGTATGAGACCCCAAGCACCAAAATGGCCCAATGGAAGTACACCAAGTGGACAAAAGCATGCCAAGCAAGTACAACTAGTAGTCGAGCAGCCAAAGCATGTCGAACGATCACACACATAGACCAAAGTCAACAAATCCTATCTCTCTGTGATGGTCCAAGTCAATCCTTGGATAGTGGAACAATATTACCCTAGGCAGTAAAGAAGAGCTAGGGGTGTTGTTGAATTTGGATGTCGACGTTAGGCCCACCCGAAGTTTTAATGCTCTTAGTCCTCTGTTATCAAAGCTTATTATGGCTTGTATTAGGTGGAATCCTATAGAGCATTCATTAACAATGGGCCGGCTGGGGAGTTCAGTGGAGGGTGGAGGAAAGAGGCGAGTGTTTGCAATTTGCAATCACTTCAAGCAACGTGCTATACTGCCTTTTCACAATTGGTGTATGGAGGTCCTTTGTCGGATTCTCATGGATGGGACATTCGATCAAGGGAAGCCTCTGTCTAAGATTCGTGGGAAGCAATTATATAGTTATGACCTTCAGTCTATAGCTCAGGGTTTGCTTTGATTTTCTTGAACGTAGCTTTCAAGATGCAGTCCATCAGAGTGAATCTTTTACACTATCATCTAAGGGGGGGGGGGGGGGTGGGGTGGTGTCGTCTACCCTTTTTCCCATACGTGGTTTTCTTCCTTGTAGCTGAGTTTTCAATTGACCCTTATTGTTAGAAGCGGTAGCTTCCGCACTAGAAAAAATGCCTCCTTCCTTTCTTAGCCAGGTCGGCAGCGGAAGCGAGAAGGGTGAACTTCACTAGCTTCTACTAAGGAGGCAGGAAGCGAAGCTTCTAGAATGCAAGCAAGGCACGCTTACACTCCTAGTAGCATGCGTTGGCGGCTAAGGAAGGAGGCAAAAGACTCTACTCTAGTAGAGAGGCAGTCGGGAGGTGATTCGCCTAATAGTCCGTGGTTGGTTCGAAGGTCGGCTCTGAAAAACCAGTAATCTATCCCGCTTTATACGAACCGACTATCTTAGTTCGAAACAGGCAGGCTGATGGTGCGTGCAGAGAAGCAAGCAAGGCTTCGTATTCATTATATCAGATCTTAATACTTCCTGATCTGGGAGGGACATCAACTCTTGTCACGTCGGACTTCTAATGAAGTGAAGAGAGTCCTCCTTCACTTGTCTGCTCCTATCAGATCAGTAAGGGGTTCCAAAACTTAAGGCTCTCAGTTATCTAGTCGGAAGCAAGAATTGAAACCGGCAATAGCAATGGAATAATGGCCCTCTGCTTCCTTGTTAGGAAGTAGGCCTTTCTCTGTTACTTCACCGCTGTAGTACATCATCAAACAAGATGATGTCTGCTTAAGGTAAAGTGCACAGAAAAGAGGAACCAGTGGAAAGGAAAGAGTAGTTCCCGACGCCTTTCAAAGATAGATAGTGGCTGGCATAAAAGATTGGAATGAACGCCACCCTTGTGAATTTTCAAACAAATGGGTTCGCAGTTCAAAGGCAGAAGGAAGAAGGGCGAGAAGGAAGAGAAGTTAGTAGTGAAACGATTTCGGTCCCCTTGAACTAAAAACTAGATATCTCTCGGTCATAATTTACAGAGCAGAACGAGCGGGAAATGTACTACTATTTTATTTCCCAGGAGATAGGAGAGTACGAACGAGGGGCTCCGAATACTAGCCAAACATCGAAACTTGATGCCATCGTCTGAGTCCCAAATCGACCTTGACACAGGGCTTTTCTAAAGTTTTTTTTAGTCTTTCGAAATAGATTAGATGGCTTGGCTCGCTCAGTGCTTACACACTTCGCTCGCTGGCTTCAACCCTGCTCAGGCTTCCGCTCAGATGTCAGAACGTTCAAGACTTGGGCATGATGCTTACGGCTAGGAACTTGACTTCAAGTATCTAAGGGAGGTCTTGATTATGCCAAGGGCAAGAGCCGAAAGCGAAGGCAAGGACCCACTACTTTTAGATGTCTCGTTCTTAATGTCTTCAAAGCCGAGGTATGTCTCAACAATCCTCTCTATGTAGCAGAGGCGCCTCCCTCTTGGTTCTGTGAAAGCAAATTGGTGTGGTTTGTGCTGTTGTCAAATAAGGGACAACGAAGCAAGACAGACAAAACATGTGAGGGATTCACTTCTGGAGGTCACCCGCAATCCCAATGGCTAGCTCAACCCTATACCTAAATTATCACACGTCCATTTGAGGGAGCTACCGCCGCCACCACCACCACCACCACCACCAATCAGCACCACCACTTCTCTTTCCCTCACCGACCGGAGAATATTAACTATAGAGTCTTCTAGGGCGGCCTTGTAGACAGGCGAACTAATACGGGAATAACCCCCCTTACCACAGTTCTTAAGGGAAATGGAACCCTCCTAGCTACGCTATCCCACTCGGGGGGGAGTATTACAGTCAATGTACTCTCGTTAAGCAGGAGCACAACCCTATACCCTATACCTATATAGCATAGTGCATGGACTACTTATTGAACTAACAGACCTTGATTTGCTACTTGACCGGAAGGGATACAGGCAATACTTGTTACTACTCTAACGGAGGGTTGATTCTCAAACTAAAGCCTACTGTGAGTATGGCACAAAGGGACAGATTGAGGGCAAGAAGTCTATCTCGCACTAATGGACTCGAGCCACGGGAGCAAAAAACTATAGCTGGCTGCCCAAGCAACGAGCAAAGCCAGCGATCAGATTCGTAAGCTATTTCATTCAATCAATCAGGACAGTCCGCTTCTGAATGCAAGACAACAACATGATAACCAGCTTCTGAATGCAAGACAACTACAAGATAATCAAACTTAGCTGGAAGCCAGAAAGAAGGATGGACTCACTCAATCTTCAGCTATCTGGCTGATGTCCAGAGTAGCCGGTGGGAGTCGGAAACCTATGCCGAACTCAAGGCCTACTTGATTTCGTTCAAGAAAGACATTATATATATATATATATATATAAGTAGTCTCCAGAGGTTCAGATCTCCAGGGGTAGGGACAACGAGTACTATCGTAAGCATAAGGTACTCTCCCAAGTTCGTTGTAGGCAACGGAGGGAGGAGTGAAGCGACATACAGGTTTGGTTGGTGAACTGGGGGGGCGGAGTCGGAAGTGGCCTGAGGAAGAATCTGCCCCGGGCTTTTGATAAGGACTGAGTGATGGGAGAGGAGAGGTTGTGTACAACAACCTTAACCGTACAAGCCTAGGCTGGCTTTTCCTTGTGTATTCTCCCGTCATCGTGTGGGGTGCTAAGGGTTGTTGCCCTGTAGCAAGTAGCCATCTAGCTACCCACGTATTCCATCTTTTTGTGCCTTCTTCTTCCTGCTCTTGTCTTGGGAGATAGCCATGAATTGAGACAGAGAGTCTCATCAGAAAGAACAACAAGTGCAGCAAGAGACCTCATCAGGTCAGCCCTTATTTGAGGGGCAACGGGCACATGATGTGTTTCAGACGTACTCTCGTCGTTCAGACCGGTAGAGTCCTCTCTCCCTCTCTCCTCAACTGATCAGACTTCCACCGTCCTCCTCCTTGATAAAACGTGAGTGAGGGAAAGACATAAAGAACATATAGGTCACAAGAATCTCACTAGAAACTCACATGCCAGAAGCAGTCGTGTGGGAAAGAACGGTCAAATTGGATTCTAGCCTTGAAAGCCGGTCCAAAAGACTAAGATCTGCACCTTTCATAACTGCCGCCCATCCAACATGATTGGCCGGAACCAGGCGCATAAAAGAGGCTTACATTCCTTATTTATCATATTGAAAACATGTCTTTATGGGTGAGGGTATTTAATCCTTCACTTCCCCCATTTAGTGAGAAAGTGCGTATACTCGAAGGAAGGCGGAATATTTCACCCCTCATCTGGAGTAGTTTAGTTAGTTGTTAATAGCTTGTGATTCGGAGTTGTCGACCCGTCATTTTCAGTCGAGTAAAGCCCTCTTCATCGCAGTCGCTCAATACGTTGTATCGATGGAGTGAC